AAAATCCCAATTGACAGATGAACAAAGTAAGGCAAAACAATGTTAAGTAAGTGACTCGAGATAACGAAGCAAATGAGGTAGCAGAGCCAGAATTCAAACAAAGGCCATCTGATCAATGCAGAGTGTATACTTCTACCATTCCACAACTCATCCTACTTTCCATAATACACAGCTTCTTCAGTTATGAAAAAGTTAAATGAGCTAGCATTACCTTTGATTATTAATTATTTAATGTCATCATCTTTCAATGCATAGAATGAGTAGCACCACTCCATCAACTTAAATAACTCAGAATAATTTCTAGACACATCCAAGGACTTTCCAATGACCTTATGAAAGAAAAAGAAGTTCCTCATATGAGGTAACAGATCTGTAAAATATTACATATGCCCCTGCCTCATGAGGGCATGAGATGAGCCCTTTCTCTCATCTCTTCCTTGCTCTGGAATCACCTGTGCAAAGAGCATAAAATAAGAATTACCTTAGCCCATTCCAGGGACAGCTGTGTGATTCAGGTGTACATAACAAGGAGAAAACAGTACAAGATCAGATCAGAACTTTAGAACTAGGATGTAGAGTGTGGACTTTATTCTAATTACAACAGAAAGTAAATGAAGTGTTTTAAGCAGTCAGAGATTTATGCTTTAAAAAGATTTCAGCCTTTAAAAAAAGAAATCTTTCCATTGTGACAACATGGATGGACCTGGAAGACAGTATGCTAAGTGAAATAAGCAAGACACAGAAAAACAAATACTGTACAATCTCACTTATCAGTGAAATCTAAAATAATCAAGCTCATAGAAGCAGACAGTAGAATGGTGCCTGATAGGGGCAGGGGTGAGGAAGACATGGGGAGAAACATTAAAGGTTTGAAATTTCAGTTATGAAGAATGAATAAATTCTGGAGATTTAATGTATGGCATGGTGACTACAGTTAATAATAGTGTATACTTGAAATTTTCTAAGAGGGTATATTGTAACTGTTCTTACCTCAAAAAAAAGGATGGAAGGAAGAAAAAGAAAGAGAAAGGAAGGGAGGGAAGGTTGGAGGGAAATGGCAACTATGTAAGATGATGGACATATTAATTAGCTTGATTGTGGTGACTATTTCACAATATATACACTAGATCAAATACATCAATACTGCTGAAAAAACTAACACCACCACTAACAAAAAAGGATTTGTTTGACTGCTGCATGGAGGAATTTCTTGAAGGACTAAATATGGAAGGAAGAGAGTTGGGGAAGAAGGCAAAGGGGCTGTTGGAGGAGTCCAGGTGGTTGCTGATGTTGCCGGAGATGAGGAGACATCAAAGGGCAGTCAGATCCAGACTTGCCGATGCACTGGTTGCGGGGGTGAGTGGGAAATAGGACATTTAGACACATATTTATCTTACCATAAAGCTTACAACATTTCCAAACCTCCATGTTCTCCCTCTTGGTAGCTTATTTATTAACCTAAGAAAAAGAGAATATCAAACTTTTAAGCCTAATATTTCTTCTGGCAAATTCATTGTTTTATGATTTACCATTCTTATCTCCCTAAACCCTAAATGCAGTTTTAAAGAGTGTGATTATTCATTTCAAAAAAATAACAAGAATGCATGGATGCATGAAAACTAATAGGTACCCTGAGAGGTTATATGCTCTCAGATTTGACAATGGCAATGCAAGTACGTATACACAGTAGATGAGCCAACTGGTTTAAGCAGCACAGAAGGCATGTAACCTGTTTCTTTGTGTAAATAATTTGCGGCATTCCAGACTTGCATCTCATTGTAAATCTAATATAACCACAAAAGAATTTGTAATATCACTTCAAGGAACCTTTGCTCGCCACTGTGCTTTTACAAAACAAAAATTTACAATAAAGATAATGGCTATAATAAATGACTCAAGATATTCCTTTATTTTTAAAAAAGTGTGCAAACTTAAAAAATTGAAAGACGAGGTGACATGAACTTTGTTCCAGCAAGTTGTGAATGGCAGACCTACAGAAATCAGACTCTTACCACTACAAAAGCGCTAAGTCCATTAATAATAAGAATTTATTACACAGGAATGTGATATTTAAAAAGCACTAGTGCCTGGGCCCCATTTCCAGAGATGCTGATTCAGCTGATCTGAGATGAAGCCCATGCAGTGGTAGTTTAAAATTTTTCTTCAGATTATATTAATGTACAAATGAGATTGAGAGCAGGGTCTGGGAATAAAGTAAAGTATTGTTCTTTTATTTTTCTATAATATCTTAGAACAAAACCCCATAATATTTTCCAAATTAAAAGAGCTCTCTCACTCTGGCAAAAGTCAGCAAGGAAGTGCCATCCATGGAAAATACTAAGCTTTCCGTTGTGTGTACATGTGCACACACATGTGTGTACACACACCTGCACACATGTAGTCATGGATTACAGAAGAACTTTTAGAACTCTACATCCAGGGCAAGCACATATCTAAAAGGAGTAAAACATCATTTCTGTCATAAGTCAGGGGGAAAGAATACAATTTAGAGTCAGCACAGTCTTTAGGAAGTGATACCAAATGGTTTTAAAGAAAAGGCTGTGAAAATAGCAATTGTGGGCTAAGATTTCTTTACATTTCAATTTTAGTCCCATATTCCATTTTTAAATATTTATTAGACATGGAGTTTTTAGTCACATTAGAATATCTTTCCCCAAGTCCTTCACCAACTCTATCCAGTCTGGTCACCAGCACTTGTCTTTTTACTACTGACTAAAACTCATTAATGAACTTAATTGAATTGAACAGGGAATTAGTGAGAACCTACTGTACAAAATAAAGTCAGTATAAATGACACTGAGGCAATTTCCTCTAACTATGATGGTCAGCTTCATGAACAATGAACTTATAGTATGTTCTCCAGTGGTGCCTAGTCCAAAAGGGAATGAAGCTCCTAGGAAGGTAGAATCTTTGAATGGGTATATTCTGGGTTAAAAGAACACCCTCTTAAAGTTCCCCCCAAACCTGTTTCTTCTGCTTTATAATTGATGCAAAGTGGATGATTCTGTTGATCCAGAAGCCCCTTTCAGATAGGACCTGGAAAAGCATAAAATCCAGAAAACATGGAAATTCTAAGGCAGGCATGCTACTCCCTGGGCCCAGCTGGCAGGAAGCCAGGAACCATTAGTTGCCCAAATGCTTTCTCTTCTCCTTACAGCCCATTAGCAGCTAGACTAAAGGACAGTGCTGTCTGCAAGATTTACTTTGAGGGAGTAAAATTTTGTGCTTTTCATTCAGACATGAATACTAGCAAGAAAAACTGTCCTTTTGATAACCCTCCCTCATTTAAATGCTAAAAAAAGACACTGGGTGGAGATTTAACATGCTAATGATACATGTGAAGCATGAAGAAGCATGTAGTTATACTGCATAAGCCCCAGAGTCCCTGCCTCTACATATGTGTCACACTTACATGTCACCCTTTCCACCTCAACTTCTTTAAAACTGTTCTCCAGCTTTTGTTCAGGAGCAACATTTCTCTTTCTCCCTTTAAATGTCTCCCCCAGTGCTCCAGCTATATTTAGTAAACCTCATGCCTAAGTAATACTTCGTGAACTCGCTTGATTTCTAACTCAGGCATTCCCAAGAACTCACATGGTTTTGTGGCAGAATTCTCACCTCCCACATGAGAGACTCAGATTTGATTCCCAGCCAATGCACCAGGAAGGCTCTATATTAGTTTTTGGTGACCTCTTTTGATTTCTATCCTGGGAGATCACAAGAACCCAGAGCATGAGTGACACTAGAACAAAAAATTAAATCAGACCTTGTGGAGCAAAGGGGAATGCAAGTAAGAGAAGAAATTAATTTTTATGACAGAAATAGGATGATTTTTAAGTAATACTATTTTTATAGTAAAAATCTTAAAACTTACATTTCAAGGGATGAAACAAATGTCATCATTTATTAAATTATTTATTCTACAGCTATTCATTGAGCACCAACTAATATCAAGAAATATTTTAGAAACTTGGATAAAAATAATCAAAATAGATACAAATCCCTGCTTTCCTACAGTTTTTATGTAAGAGGATACAAACAAAGAAGCAGCCAAGTAAGTAAGCGTGCTATGTAGTTAGACAATGATAAATGCTGTGAGAAAAACATAAGCACAGGACAGGTGCAAAGGAGAGTAGGGATGAGCTGCAACTTTAAATTGGTGATGAAGAAAAGACTCCTCAAGAAGGTGACATTGCAGCACAGATGGAGCTGGTGAGGGAGTTAGGCTTAGGCGATGTTTAAGGAAGTGGGCACAGGGAAGGTAAAACATGGGGGAAATCTAACAGAGAAAGAAAAATGTAATAATGATGAGGAGAGAGAATTGCTGGAACACTGAGCAGTGAAAGAGAAAGTGATCTAGTGAACATGTGGCTGGACAGCTTAGACCAGCGATTTCCAACCAGTGCTGCTAGATTTAGTAAAACATGTGATGCCTGACTATTTAATTGGGGGCATTGACTTCTTTTCCACTATTTTGTTAAGTAAAAGAATGACAACAGCCAAAACATCTGGTAACCATCCAGTATGAATAAATAAAAAATATACATTTTTGTCAGATTGGCAAAAATACAAGTTTTTGGTATGCCACAGCTTTTTAGTAATTACTTTATGTGTGTCATGAGATACAAATGGTTGAAAATTGCTGGTCCAGAGAGGAGCATGGACTCTTCCTGTCCTAACAGGAGGAAGAGCAGAGGACCATGGAACTTTTGTACCAGACTGGGATTATATACTGGCAAAGCCCATTCCTCAGAGTGTATATGATAGCAATATTAAATAACTTCCATCTCTTACATTTTTCTTCTCTAAAAGTAGACATTTTATTCCATGACCTATTATAGCCATTGGTTATTTTGATGGAGAGTGAAAAGACATTGAATATTAGTAAGACTGAGTCTCACATGCAGAAGGCACATCTAGAACAGAGTAAATGTCCTAACATCCTTCATCTCTGTATCATAAGCTTTCATGTTTCTTACCATCTGCACTTGAAGTGGTTCGCAGTAACCCATTCCATAATGCTGTGTATTGGAGCAAGAGAATGTCCACACTACTCCACACAGGCACTACTCCCATGGCCTGCAGATGCTCAGGGCCTCTGGTTGGAGCAGTAAAGTCAATGCACTGATTTATGGGAACTCCAGGCGCTGACAAGTTTGAATAAAGGTTCATCATAAAGACTCCTCCTTTGGTATATATACTGCCATGTGTGACAACATGAATGGATCTTGAGAATATCATGCTAAGGGAAATAAACAATAAAAGTTAAGAACCATGTGATTTCGCTCGTATGTGGATGATAAAACTGACGGCAACAAATGAACAAACTAGAAAAACAAACAAAACTCATAGACATTGACAACAGTGTAATGGTTATCAGAGAGAAGTGGGGTCAGGGGTAGTAATCAGTAAAGGGAATCAACACATGGTGACAGGAGAAGATTCAACTTTGGATGGTAAACACACTATGCAATATATAGATGACATATCATACAATTGTACACTTGAAACCTATATAATATTATATATATAATATTATTAACCAATATTAATTAACCAATGTTAATATTATTAATATTAACATAACAATATTACTATTATGTTAATATTATATTATTAACCAATGTTACCCCAGTAAGTTTAATAAAATTAAATAAATAAATAGTCCTGTCTGGTGTAGCTCGGTGGATTGAAAGCTGGCTTGCACACCAAAGGTTTGGCAGTTTGATTCCCAGTCAGTGAACATGCCTGGGTTGTGGGCCAGGTCCCCAGTTCGGGGTGTGTGAGAGGCAACCACAAATTAATATTTCTCTCCCACTCTTTGTGCCCTCCCTTCTCCTTTCTCTAAAAATAAACAAATAAAATCTTTTAAAAAATAACCCTTCCTTTGCATTGCCCCTGGCTCCCCACTACTATAGTGGCCAGCCTTCTGTCTCAGCATTCTCCAAATCTGGCTCCTCAACCAAGTCTTTTTGTCTTTGGCACAATAAACATGAGAAACAAAGTCACACATGTACATTAGAGTATCTTAATATGCTAACCTTCTCACTAGCACTTGATTAATCAACAAAAAAGTTCAATTAATCACTAAAAAGGAGCAGCTGGTAGAAAGTACTTGGGGTAGTTCTTAGGAGAGAGAGTCTTGAATAGTTCTCAGTTCTGATATGTCTATCATGTGATTTTCTCTATTTGCTGCAATTATTATTTTTTTAATCTTTTTTCTTTATTTTATTTTTATTTTATTTTAATTGTTGTTCAAGTACAGTTTTCTGCCTTTTATCCCCATCCTAGCCCATCCCTGCAGTTTTCACACCTCCCTCCCATTTCCAGCCCCCTCCCTTGTTACTGTCTATGTGTCCTTTATACTTGTTCCTGTAAACCCTTTCCCTTTTCTGCTGAAATTCCCTCCCCTCTCCCCTCTGATCACTGTCATCCTGTCCTGTATTTCAGTGTCTTTGGTTATATTTTGCTTGTTTCTTTGGTTTGTTGATTAGGTTCCTGTTAAAGGTGACATCATACGGTATTTGTCTTTCACTGCCTGTCTTATTTCCCTTAGCATAATGCTTTCCAGCTCCATCTATGCTGTCACAAAGGGTAGTAGCTCCTTCTTTCTTTCTGCTGCATAGAATTCCATTGTGTAAGTTTGCTGCAATTATTTTTTCCTCATTACAACCTATTTAGTTATATGCTAATAATCTTATTCAGTTCATCAGATCAGCAAGCAATTATTGACCAGGTGTCAAGAGTTATGCTTAGTTCTTAGTATAGGCTACTGAGGTGACATACTGCTTTGTCCTCAGAGGGGTTCAGCCTAATTGTGTTGTGACAAAATCATGAATGACTTCTCATACTATAATGAGTGAATACCATGACAAACACGTGCCCCTAATGTTATTGACACACAGGGTAAAATAGCAGAGTCTGTGGATTCAGGGAATGCTGGAGATTCCTGAGAGTTCAAGGGTGATCAGGAGTGAGCCAGTTTAACTGAGTGGGAAGGCCACTCATGGTAAATCATCAGATCAAAGGAAGATGATAGATGGATAGCTAGATAAATAGATAGGTAATAGATTGAAACTCTGGTTTCTGTATTCTTGTTTGGTTGAGTTGGATGACTTGAAACTTAATATGCAATAATACCTAGTTGAATGGAACCAACCACCCCTTCTAAGATAGATAAATGCTACTTTGCATGGTAACATTTCTACAAGATTATTTTATTCCCCAAGATGCTGTCCTTGAAAAAAATAGGCCTGAGCTTTGAAGGAGAAAAACTTATAACTGGAATGCACTGTTTTCCGGTCCAATTTGTTTGTAACAGAGGCAGAGAGTTCTGGCAAAAGCCATTCTCTACAAAAATAAATTGAAAAGTTCTACAGAGTTCAAGTGTTGACTACATAGTGAACTGACTATTGGATTTTCAGATGTGTTTTTGCCTTCAAGATATATTGACATCAAGGTACCTTCAAAGAATATAATCAGCCTTTTGAAATCATTTTTAATATGCTCTCTGTGATACAGATTGTGTCTCTTGTCCAAGACTTTTTTTCTCTCTGAAGTTTCCACTGAAAGTCAATCTTAACAAGAACCTGTGTTGAGTTGTAAGAATAAATGTCTGACAGCTTTGAGGATGTTTGAACTTTTAAAAAGCATAAAAATTGGATAATTCTACCTTATAAAAGCATAACATGCACATTAGTATCTCCAAATTTAGAATCTCTGTGAACAATCTCCATGTCCATTCCAATAGTAGTAACTATGCTTCATTATCAAATGAATCAACTACACAAAAGAAATTGACCTACTGAATAAACAGATTTGTCACTCAGAATTTAATATTTTAAGATTATTATGAAGCTGTTTTGAAAATAATATCCTTTTTTGATCGGAAGGTAAAACTCTACTACTATCATAAATGCAAAAGTTAAAAGTAGTTTCAGTAATGCAATTTTAAAATATTAAACCTCTGAACATATTTTTATACTATTCTAGTTCTATAGCATTGATATTTTGTTGCCTCTGTCCATACATCCTGCTAACACAATTGAGCAAAGGGAAATTACGGAAAAATCCCAGTTCTACTACTAAGATACTGAACTATATAAAGAGAGTGGCTGATGCTTAGATCTATGTGAGGTTTTTGCCAGCACTGGTACAGTTCACACAATAGTAGAATGAGCTCTGAGGGTTTCTACACAGTATACAAGGGTTTTTATCTTTTTACAGAGGATGACACTACTGTGTATACATTTACTATGATGTTAACAACTTGGCTGTCTGTCTCTCCCTTTATGTCATCTTACCTGTCTGGTGCTAATGAGTAGCTTCTTGAGTATTGTAGATGGTAAAAATGCATATTTTTGTAAAATTATAACAGGAAGACTAAGTTATGATGTGTATCTGTGACGTACACTTCCCCAAGTCCTTCTGTGCATTCTCACACCTCGTATAAAGACCCTCAAGCAAATAGTATATGAAGAAAAGATACCTATCTCCCATTTACAGGTGAGGCCACTGTCTACGTGGGAGTTTCTGGACACTTTCAATTATCTTGTGTTTAACTTTCAAGTGTAAGAATTTGCCAACTCAGTACAGAGACTTTTCACTAGTTCTCAGAAATATGATTTATATCTTATAAACCTCTTATGTATGATTTATATAGGCAATACCACACTGTCAGTTTCTTAATATATAACATAAAAAAAATCACTGGATGCAACTGGAGGAGAAAATACCTTGATTCATGTTCCAGTTACTGACCTTGCCTTGTTTCCATGTGTTGGTGAGTGGCACTACTGTCTTGCCCAGCAACTGAAGCCAGACCCGAGTTTCACCTTAGATACCTCCTTTCCCTCACTTTCTTCATCAAATTAATCATATACCTTGCGAATTCTACCTCTTGAATTTCCCCCAAATACATCTGTATCTATTGATAACACCATATCATTTTGATAACCAATAATTTCTGTCATCTAAATATTACAAATGTTTCCAACCTGTGGTAGCACAAGATTGATTTTTTTTTTTTGTCTGTGTGTGTGGAGGTACTTTGGCATCCTCATAGTAGTAGCTATCTAGTATTGTCTAATAAATTAGCACATACTTTACAGCTTAAAGCAACATATATTTGTTATCTGACAGTGTCAGTGAGTCACAATTAGGTGTAGCTTAAGTTTTGGTTTCAGAGTCTCTCACAATATCAAAATCAAAATGATTCATCTGAAAGCTCAAATGGGGAAAGGTCTGCTTCCAAGCTCATGTGACTGTTGACAGGATTTATTCTGGGCTGTTGGACTGAGAACCTTAGGTCTTTGCTGGCTTCGAGTTAGTGGCCGCTCTCCATACCTTGCATATGGTCTTCTCCATAAGGCAGCATGGCAGGCAACATGGCAGCTTGTTTCATCAGAACCAATAAGGGACAGAGTCCAACAGCAAGACCGGAGCCAGAATCTTATGTAATTGATTCAGAAAAGTGATATCCCATCACCTTTAAGATATTCTATTGACTACAAGCAATCCACAGGTTCTGCTTACACTCAAGGGGAAAGGATGGCACAAGAGCATGAATACCAGAAGAAGGTATCACTGCAGGCCATCTTAGAGTCAATCAGCTGCATTCATCATTTCCTTCCACTCCTTAAACTTCCAATTGTACATATACTCTGGGTAAAAATTTCTGCAGTCTATACAAATGCAGCCTCAAGAAAAAATCTCTGAGAATGCAGGCATTGACAGGGAACATGTGTACTCTCTTGTTACTCTATTTCTCCTTACAGAGCCCTAATTACATTCTGTTCTTGTAATATTGTTGTCTCACTTGTATATCAGTCAAAGGCTTGGTCTTCTTATTTACCACTAGTGCCAGCACAGAGTCTGCTATATACATTAATGGAGAAACAACTTCATGAAACACTCTGTGGGTGATCTATTTGCTCTTTGCTATTTACCTGCATAAGGTTGATAAACTCCTCAAACTAGATTAGCTTAATATATCAATTCTGTCATTGTTACCAATGAATGGATCAAAATCTCTGTAAAATGCATTTATTGCTTCTGCTCCTATTACATTCTAGACTAATCAGTACCCTTATTTAATAACTGTAAGTATTCACCAAAAAAATTAACTCTTTATAAAATTTTACTTTTAATTGCAGTTTATATTCAATATGATT